TATGACCACAGGCAGTGTGTTCAGATGTCTCTAAGCTTCTGTTCCTCATTGGGAAGTCGGGGCAGAGGAGGTCAGCAGTTCCTATCTCAGAGGGTTGTCATGAGGACCACATGATAACCTGGTTATGACAGTTTTGCACACAGTGCCTGGCCCACAATCAGGCCTCAGGAAATGACAGCTAAACAGCAATGTAGTGTTTAGGCAATGGTAGTGCCACACATGAAATTTGGAGGCAGATTCAACAGTAAGCTTAGGTGAAGAAATTGGACATGTCCGTGTTCACATAGTATGATTCATGTCTACTCTGCTGTTGCTGCTACTTTCCTGTAACCAATTTTAGAGCCTATCTTGGCAGCTGGAAGTATTTGGGATTAATTTCACACTCACTTTATGAGTTGAGCATTTTCCTGCAAGCAGCTCCCTGGGCCTCTGCCTCATTACTTTGGCATCAGCTGATACGGCAGTTCGACAGACATGTCCTTTGGGGTCTCCATCTTATTTGGAAACCTTCAATTTGAGAAAGCAAAACAAAGGGCATCAACACATTGTGCTTGAAATCGTTAGCATTTATTGTTTCCTAAACCCCTCCCTTTCTGTAGTTCAGTTGAACACTAGGGAACACACATCTTGCTCAGCCAGTGATGCACCCTTAAAAATCACTATCCCTCAAATTTAAGTCCTAGCAGCTGGTTGGCCTTATTTCTCAGCTCCAGGTGAGCTGTGAGATCTAGGCCTTGGTCACAGAGATCTGAATCTTGATGGGGTGTAGTTTTTCCAGCTCTTTTTACTATGTTAATTCTGTTAAATTCATTTGGCTCTTACGGGGAACACAGTAAACTTGGCCGTTATGTGTAAAACTAAATTAAGAACATGGAGATCTGTTTAGTATTTCATGCTGGCCAGTAGGTCAGGAAGATTTTCCTTGGGGGTAATTTACATAAGGAATTGTTTTTTCCATTTCTTTCCAGTTTCTGTGACCATTTGGGGATAGCAGACTCTTTCCACAATGGCACAGGAATATATCCAATGAGGCTGAGACTTAGAGAGAGATGATGCTTCTCCTGGATTGATATAGTTTGGGCTTTGCTCAGGAAAGATCCTGTGGCTTGGGCTGCTGTCTCACTGAGAAGTCATTCTTCCACCACAGCTGTGTTTAGCAAGTTGGGTGGGTCCATGAACTGACATGCTGTTGCACTTAGTGAGAATGTTCCCTTGATAGTGAGGAACGTGCGTAAAAGCGTCCCTTAAGTCCAAAAAATGCCCCAAATATTTATTGTGATCTGCTAGCTGCTTAGAGTGCAGCCTCCATCAGGTAACACCCACACTCAGAATACTCGGTGGCTACCTAGTGCCTACAGAGTTAAGTGCATGCTTTCACTCTGACATTCTGGTTCCTCTACAACAGTGCCCAGCTTACCTTTCTAATGTCATGAAATGCTGTTCCTAAACTGGAGTGTTTCTCTTCCCTGAACAAGCAGCCTCTGCTTTCTGGTTTGTTCATGTTGTTTTCACTTTTAAAGCTCCCTTATTCAGTATCTACTCTTTAGGACACATTTCAGATACCTCTTCTCACTCACTGGTATCCTAGTAAAGAGTTAACAAGTGTTTCTCTGGGGAAGAGGGGGAGGGTAGGAAGCCTGACTTTGTAACATTCATGGATTTTCACGTAGTAAATACTTCCACCATGGCTGATTTCAAGTTACCAATGTGAGGTCCCTGAATGCAGAGTTGGAAAGAAATGTAAACCATAGACCAGGCATTCCCAGACTTCTTACACAGGGGGCCAGTTCAGTGTCCCTCAGACCGTTGGAGTGCCGCCACATACTGTGCTCCTCTCACTGACAACCAATGAAAGAGGTGCCCCTTCCTGAAGTGTGGCGGGGGGCCAGATAAATGGCCTTGGGGGCCGCATGCGGCCCGTGGGACCCGTAGTTTGGGGACGCCTGCAGACCATTGCAGTGTTTCCAACGTACGGATACAATAGGCACAAACAATCTCAAGAGACTAGGTAGTAGTAGAAAGTAATGAATGTTGAGTATTTATTACCTTTGTTTTAAATGCAATTTATTTGGTTTTAAGTTTATGTGGTATAATTGTTAGTAATGGCCATGTGTAACAGCTGGCTTGCAAAATTTCTGAAAACTGAACAATAGGTTCTTTCTCCTGTTGTGGGAGGAGCTGACTGAGCCCTCTCTGGCATACCACTGCTTATTCCTCCATCTCTTCCTTCCTAAGGCCCCTATACTCAGCTAGTAGTAATATGCCCATCTCTGAACCTACAACGTGCTTAAGGTCTCAAACAAGATTTGGAGTAAGACAGACTCTAGAGTTTGAATCCTGTTCCTTCATCTACTAGGTGATGGTCAGGCTCTCTACTTATTTTATGGCTCCCAGTGCCACATGAAAACGAAGGGCCCTTGTTCAAAAGCCAGGAAGAAAGTGCTATTAAAACCACCACTTAATACAAGGCTTTTTTCTTTCTTCAGTATTCTCTCTTTCACAACTTCTGATGATATTTTCTTGTTTTCTATTTAGTAGCCTTGAAAGTAAGAAAAAATTAAAATTGTAAATAATTAGCATGAATTTTTACCATTAATCTTTATATTGATGCAGTTTTAAATGCAAGTATGAGCATTTAACTCATATTAAATGAGTGCACATAACTCCTGGCTCATGTTCATGTTTCATTGCCCCATCAGTTTTGCTTACAAAATGCAAGTTCAAAAATAAAATTACTAAGAATTTCAAGGCAGATACAGCAAAGCATTAAACAAGTACAGGGCCCATCAAAGCTCGAGCACCGTTTGCACACCCTGCATACAGTCCTGGGCAAATGCCTTACATTTGCCGAGGGTTAGAGTTCTCATCTGTGAAAGAAGGATAATGTCAACTAAGTCACAGTGGAGATGTGAGGATTGAAAGCACTGATACCTGTATGGCACAGGGCAGAATGCTTGGCATGTGGTCTGTGTTCAATTAATTGGAGGGATGGTTATTCCCATAATAATCGCAATGTTAATGGAACTCTATAGCCTGTAGGGTCTTCCTTATGTGGTCAATATTTGCCTCTGTGACCTATTTTCCTTTCTCTATTACAAACTCTTTGGAGGTAGAGATTAGATCTGTCACCAATGAATTCCCTGCAGTACTTCCCGCAAATTCTTGCACATATCTGGCACTCAGTAGGTGTTTATGACCTTGATCCTTGTATGATTTGGACTATGTGACAATAAGCATCTGTGTCGTAATGTGATGGCCCCACAATGAGGCTTAATTGGTAACATTCACAGGAAGAAAAAGTGTATAAATTCAGACTTTAACAGGAGTCAGTTGTAATCATGGTGGGGTTGGGGAGGAACATGATTCCAGGTGTTTCGGTTTAAGGAAAGTGGGCTCTCTCCGTCTCTTCGAAGTAACTTTTTAAAGTAATGGGGAAGGGATGAGTTCCAAGCTCCATTTGAGTAAAAGAGGCCCCAGGGATATTAACTCCGGCCCACAGTAATCCATCCCTTTGCTAACTTCTTTCACACTTACTTTCTGTTCTGCACAATTAGGACATTATTACAGTAATGTTTCTTCCCACTAATTGGTTGTATATGTATGTTTTCTTTCCAACAAATTATAAGATCCGTGTGGACTATAAGATATTGTGTAGTTCTTTTGAATGTAGTTGTGAAGTAGCACAGTACTAGGCACATAGCAAGTAATGCAGTTTATGTTATGCTAGCCTTCGTTCAAACTCCCATGCTTTCCTGTAGGGCTAAATATGAATTGTGATTGCCTTTTATAACTCCTGCAAGCCTTCAGCCAAGTGGCAAAGAATTTTGGTTGCCCCAGTGATTTCAGGCAAGGATCTTCAGTTGCTCTGTCTACATCTCTTTTCCAGTATCTCCGAGACACTCAGAGCTATCTCTGTACAGCACCTCTCCCCATATGGAATTTGGGAGACCACACAGCTGTACATTCTACTTGTTTGAATGATGATTTTTTAACAAGCCCTTTGGGCCAGTGTCAATAAACCATGAAACATCACCAAATGGTTCATCTGCACCAGACTTCTGAAACTCATCTGAATTCCAGTCCTCCAAACTTGTGGGGGCTTGTAGAAAGGAGCTCATATGGCTCAGGCTTTTGCTAATCCTGTTCTGGGGACTATCAGATGCCTTCAGTCTCTGTGGCAGTCAGTTCATTACTTTTAATGAGCACAAAATTCACCAAGACATTAAAATAAAACACGAATGGGCAGTTTTGGATGTTCCATCCAATTGTTGCGTTAGTTCTTTTTTCCACAGGATTATTCAAAAGGATGAAAAAAAGTCAGTTCTACTCACTCCTGCCAATTTTATCCTAAGTAGATTTGGCATTGTAAAGCTAACACACCCTGAACTTTTTTTTTTCTTTCAGGTCCCTGTGGGCTGGTGTCTGGCATTTGTGTTAAAAATGACATTACTCAACTGGTCAAATGTTTAAACATTATCTACCTTTTAGATATAATAAAGAAATATTAGATTCCCAGTACCATGTAGCGGCTAAAGACTAATATTAGAGGAAGATGATGTTCTGAAAAAAGTGTAGTGAAGTTGTTAGTTTGAACTACAAGGCAAATGTAATTATTCTTCTGAGAATGTTTTAATCGATCAGTCTATGTGGCTGGTGATAAAAACTGTGATAACTTTATTAGAGGTTACTTATATTACCATATATTGATGAAGATCAATAGATGGCAAAGCAGACACTGAACACTGGCCCTGCTAAGCTTATTTCATGGATATTTTCCACTTCTGGCCATATGGATTTGGAATCACTCTGGGCATTTTTTTTTTTAAAGAAGGAAGTGAGCAGATGAGTGATAACTCTTTTATTACTCAACATAGCTTGTGTTTGTGGAAGACAAAGTTCATCAAGTTGTCTTAAAGAAAAACAAAAGTGTGCCAGACGTAATTTGTTGAGGGCTCAAGAATTTTGAAATTATCCCTAACCAAAGTTTGTAATTTCTGCAGGTAATTGCTCTAGCAGACGCAGTGGAGGAAAACCAAGGCAGTCTGTTCCAGTCATTCACCAGGCTGAAGAGTGCCACCCATTTGGTGATTCTGCTGATTGGGCTGTGGCAGAAGCTTAGTGCTGACCAGATTGCTATTCTGGAAGCGGCATTTCTGCCACTACAGGAAGACACCCAAGAATTGGTAAGGACCTAAAAGCCTGTGGTGGGAATAGTCAGTGTTATTGAAGTTTTGGTTTTAGGAAGATATCACATAAGGCTATCAGGTTTTCCAAGATATGAAATAAGGGCTTGCCTTTTTACAAAAATGCTATTTTTCTTTTCTTTAAGCCATAGTAAAAATGTCAAATGAAGGCACTGTAGAGCTATTTTAATAATAGGTATGTAGTCCATTTTTATGTGGTCCAGTCTATTTTTTTTTTTTTTTTAATGTGTTCTTCAGTCACTTAGAAGCCAGGGAAATAGTCATCTGACAGGCTGGTGACGGCAGTAACCTTCAGATTAGCTAATCCTTTCCTTTTCCGCCAGAGAGAACACTTCAGCCATTTTAATTTGCTCAACCTTCTTAAATTTAAGTGTCACTTCAAAGGTTAGAGAGAACAGAGATAGCCTTGCTAAAACTGATGTGAATAGTTTGTTACATTTAGAGTTCTTTATGTGTAGTTTATAAACTCTTTTACCCTCAATCCTAAAATAGGCAGTTTAGCACGAAAAGAGAAAAAATGAGGGTGGTATTTGGCATTTTCAGGAAAGGATTATTTAAATTAAAACATCTCAGGTCCTTTGAATTGTAGAGGTGCATATGACCTCCATGGGCCATTTTGGGAGACTTTTTGTATGCCTTTATTTACAAAAAAATAATAGGTATCTGGGAAATTAGAGACCCTCGAACTTAGTTCTTTGTACTAGATGAAAAAATTTCAAGGGGAAATCATTTCAAATTCATTTTAAAACCTAGACTTGAGAACTAAAAATAATAATATTAAAACTAACTTTTTTTTTTTTTTAGTGGTTATTAGGTACCAGGTGCTATTTTAAGTGTTTTGTGAGAATTATTTACTTTTAAGCATGGGCCAGTGAGGTAGTTAAGGTTCTATTTCCAACACCATTTTACCTATGGGAAAATTTAGGCTTTGAGAGTTAAGTACTTTTCTGAAGCCCTGGCTGTAGAGTCAGGATTTGGACCCAGTCTGTCTGCCTATATTTTAGTGAACAAGTTCATGAATGTAATTTTGAAAACCACAAGTTTCATCAGCTGAACTGAATTTTCTACAGTTGGGTCAGAGGATTGTCAGATTTTTTAAAAAGCTGTATTTTTTGTCCTAAACAAAATATTAATAAGTAAATTGGAAAAAGAATACACATTTTTTTTTTTTTTTTAGTGGTGAATGACAAAATTGCAACTAAAATTGACCTTTGAGAAACTGGAAGTGGAGACACAACTGTAATACTAGAAAATAAATAATGGTTAAGATTATATTAAGCAGAATGATAGCTGTCACTTATGAACTCAGATTTAGTAGTCAAACAGGTTTGGGTGACTTTAGCTATTGGTTCCACCACTTAGTGACAAAATCACTGTGGTTCAGTTTCTTTTTTTTTTTTTTCTTTTTGAGACAGGGTCATGCTCTGTTGCCCAGGCTGAAGTGCAGTGACGTGATCTTGGCTCACTGCACCTCTGCCTCCTGGGTTCCAGCAATTCGCCTGCCTTAGCCTCTTTGGTAGCTGGGATTACAAGCACATGCCACCACGCCTGGCTAATTTTTGTATTTTTTTAGTAGAGATGGGGTTTTACCAGGTTGGCCAGGCTGGTCTCAAACTCCTGACCTCAGGTGATCCACCTGCCTCTGCCTTCCAAAGTGCTGGGATTATAGGTGTGAACCACCATTCCTGGCCTAGTTTCTTAACTGTTCTAAATCTTTCTGTAGCAGTAAGATGGGAACAATAATACGACCTACCCAGTAAGTTATAATAGGAACTAAATGAAATAATTAAGTACAGTGCTGAAAGTTAGCAATCATTACTGGAAGTGATTTGTACATTTTATGTGTATTATTGTCCTCACTAAAGTCACACAAGATCAATATTTTTTATTTTTAGTTTTTTGAGATGGACTCTCACTCCATCACTCGGGCTGGAGTGCGGTAGTGTGATCTCCACTCACTGCAACCTCTGCCTCATGGGTTCAAGTGATTGTCCTGCCTTAGTCTCCTGAGTAGCTGGAATTAGAGGCATGTGCCACCACGCCCAACTAATTGTTTTGGATTTTTATTAGAGACGGAGTTTCACTATGTTGGCAAGGCTGGTCTTGAACTCTTGGCTTCAAGTGATCCACCTGCCTCGGCCTTCCAAAGTGCTGGGATTACAGGTGTGAACCATCACACCCAGCTCAGTCTTACTAAATTTTCGTGGTTATTTGTCCATCTGCACAACTACACTTGAGGGCAATGATGCTATCTTATTCCTTTTCATATCCTCAGTACCTGGCACAGTGCCTGAGCACAGAGCAGTCAATATTTGCTGAGTAGATGAATGAAGGAAAGGGTGAAAACTAACAAATGGTGACCTGGAAGAATAGATGCAGTGGGTATAATCTGGAGCATGAGGAAGCAGGTCAGGGCCAGCTACGTAATTTGCAGGGCCCGTTTCAAAATGAAAACACAGACCTCCTTGTTCAAAAAGTAGGGGAAAAGGTGCTAAAGTGCTGTTAAAAAAGGTACTAAAAGCAAAGGTTTTTCTTTCTGTAGTTTTTCTCTTGACTTGTCATGGCGTTTTTTAATTTGCTATTTTATGTTCTAAGTAAGAAAAATACAAAATTTAAATTGTTAGTGTGAATTTTACCATTGGTCTTTGTAATGTGCAGTGCCTTTTTGAAAAACAAATATGAGAGCATTAGACTCACATGCAAAATCAACAATATTACACAATTTATATTTTGTAGCTTGTACTTACACAAATATTTTGTTCTTACAGAATGTGGAATCAATAGTCTTAACCGTTTTTATTTCATTTCTTGATATGTACCTATCTTCCAGTGCTCTCTACTTTCAGCTGACTGATGAGAAAGGAAGGACTGAAAGGAAAAGGAACTATGTATCATTCTTTTTCTTTCCTTCTATGTTATCATTTTCACTGTAAGTGATTAGGTAATACAGGGGAAGTAACAGGAGTAAGAAAAGATACAGTAGGCTTCTTCAGTCATTCCTTTTGCTTTGAATCTGTTGCCTTCCCTCTTCATTCAAAATGTGTCTGGTTCTCATGGAAAGCCTCTCAGGGCTTTCAGTGTCCCCACTTAATCAGTCTAGAGGTAACATGCCTGCCTTGTACTTGCTTTGAGTCTTCCCGAACCCGTACTCAGCGTGGGGCCACAGGAATTCGGAGCTCTTGGGGCTCCATGTGAATGAGGCAGAAAGGAGAAGAGGGCATGCATACTGCATATATCTTCCCTTTTTATACACACGCTTCATTGCTCCATCAGAGTTCACTTAGGAAACAAGTTTGGAGGTAAAATTATTAAAAATTTCAAGACGATGACAAAACATTAAGCCAGGCAGGGCTGGTAGGTGGTCTTTCTGAGCATGAGCCCCTTTGTTACTGCAGAGCTTGAATGCTCATGAAGGTGGCCCTCAAGCATGGGTAGGCTCAAAGGAAGACCTTTCTAGAAATAAATGTTCTAAATGTAGGAATTGGTACCCAGAAGAGATTGTGGTATTCCTTACTTGAGAGATCTTTAAAAAGTCTTATTTGTCTAGGAATATATAAGCATGCTTATCCCTGCATGCAGGTGAATGGACTTAGTCTCTTCTGAAAGCCCCTTTCTCTCCTGCCTGTACATTCTCCACTGTCATAGCCCCCAAAATATATAGAAGAAAATTCTTTCAACTCTCTTCTGAATTTGGTGAGATTAGAAGGTATGTATACTCATTATGTCTTTGGAGTCATTAATGAGACAAGACATTTGATAAAAACATAACTTGGAGAAGAATGAATCAAAAAAGACATTTTAATACTGCTTATTACGCTCTTCATCTTTAATTAGGTTGTGGTATTCGCTTTAGACTTATACTGTTGAGACAGCTTATACGTCTTGAAAAAAAGGAATCCTTTTTCATTCTTTAAGACATACGCATGCAGTATGTGGTTTTGACATGCTAGTTCACAATCCCCCACGTTATGCCTTTAGACCTCACAAATAAATGTTATGTGATGGGTATCCCACTGAGATGTGAAAATGAAATATGCAAACCTGAAATAACTTGGAAGAAGGGTGAGGCAGGGAAGAAAGGAGTCTCTTACCAGAATGTTGAAAATATATTCCATATTGAAGTTATTATGATACCACAAAAATCTGAATGTAATTTAGATGGTTTGGTTGAGGGTGGATGGCAGAGTACACATGTGAGGGGGAGAACTTTAGACATGTGGACAACATTTTCAGAAGAGCCTCTCAGCTCAAGGTCACATGTCCCACAAGTATTCAGAGGTAAAAGAAAGTGCTCAGAAGATGTTTTGTTTATGTTTCAAACAGCACTGCATAATGACTTGTTATTTTGATGGCATGTGTTAAAAGGCATCCTGAATGCAATAGCCAACTCTGGAGTATTTTCTTCCTAATGACATCAGGTTCGCAATTCAAAAATATTTAGAATGTGCTATTGCTAATGAAAAGTAGTGTTCTCCACACTATATTGTCAGTAGTATTTTGTTTAAAATGCCATTGCTTTTGGAACAGAATTAATCATTGTCTTTGATCTGTCTCTTTAATAATGCCTTTCCCTTTTTGTCACTCCTCAATACTATTTTGGGACAAATAAATGCTGGTATGGCACACTGTTATATGTAAATTTTAAAGGTGCTCAAAGTTATATGTGCCAGATGTGTTTTTGTGGGGATACCCCTTTTCATTATAGAAGAATAGTAAATACTCTAATTGGTGTCTCCAAAAAAAAAAAAAGCTCTTAAACTTGGCTCTGTTTGATAACCTAGTATTGTCCCTACCATATTCCTGTGATGATAAAGAAGTGTTACCAAAATAATGTTCTAGCAGAGTATCAGATTGGGCAATTTTAAAATAAATTGTTTTCATATCTTTCAGGTTAGGGGCTGGGGATATTTCAAGATATTTGAATTCTCAATGCAGAATTTAAACATGTCTCGATTGACCCTCTATCTGCTTGAAGCTCA